TTAAGTAATCCTTACCAATAGAAAACGCATCCAGAAATTTCGGTTAACATTTTATGAACTTGTCTCGCATCTCATGGAAGTGGGAGGTGCCGCAAAGGAGCCTTTGCGATTTACCCCGGAGCTGTCCTGATGGCTGACAGCCGTCGCCGCCATGGCTTCTAGCTTCTCATCATGTCAAATTTATTGCAATGCGTAATTCGCTGAGTTGCTGTGGGGAAGAGCCTCTCGGGGTCACCTTCGCCCTTCTTCCTTTCATCGATCGGTAGTCTAGCGAACCTATCCGCCGACAGTTTGTGAGATTTGGCTCAACGGCCAATGTTGCGCCTGCCTTCATCTGAGACGCGCCTCTCAGATACATGGCAGTAATTAAGGCCACGCACGGGCTCAAAGCAACCCGACAGACGCGCACGGCGAGCCAATATGGTCCCCGTTGTGGGTAAGAAGCACGACCGCGCAACCCCATTGGAGGAACCGGTTCTGTGGACCACGCGACCTTGCACGCGCAAACAGGATTGCATGCCCTCGCCATCGCCCTCGCGCTCCACCAACCAATCAAAGCTGTTGTTTTTATACCTTCACGTGGCACGGCGCACGCGCATTTTCGAGACGCCGACGACGACGACGGCGGCGGCGGCGGAGTTGTTTTTTCCTCACACGCACCCCGTCGGCGTACTGTGGAGGAGGGCAGAAGCAGGTGATGAGAGCAGAGTAGTCGGCAGAAATGAAGTCTACTGCCAGGGAGTCTCGTTTGGGGCCTTACTCCAACTCCGTGGAGACGGAGGCCACGCTCAGTCTCATGCGGAGAGGGCTGGTGCAGTCTTTGGAAAGTCTTGACGTGGAGCTTTTCCAGCGAAAGTTGGAGGCCCTGCTAGAGGGCGACTTCGCTGATATGGTTCTACAGAGTGGACTGGGTTTGGAAGGCAAGACGGCCCTGCATCTGGCCGTCGAGTGTCGATTCCAGGAAGCGGTGAGTCCTCAGTGTTCGTAAACAAAGCGCTTCAACGTAAAGGACCTTGCATTCTTGCAGCCTATTGTGTCTCAAGCACGCACCTCCCGCATCTTGTCACTTTCACATCCCATATCGTTTCTACTACTTCTACTTCTTCTTCTTCTTCTTCTTCTTCTTCTTCTACTACTACTACTACTACTACTACTGCTACTGCTACTACTACTACTACTACTACTACATTAATGTCACAACTGTCATTATTACTGTCATCATTACCATCTCTAAGGCTGCTAATAACACTACTGTTAGTATGTTTACAACTACTATGGCTACCACCGCCCTCAACTGTGCATTTATACACAGCCGACGCTATATTCCCTCCCCATTTCGAACCTCCATCTGCATAAGGTCGACACGTAGGAAGCGGTTACGATCTACTTCCTCTCTTACTTGGAATTTTCTACTAAGACGCCATGGCGGATCACGTGGAGGATTTCCGCGTTTATGCACCGCTATCAGTTGCACCGTAAATTACGCCGGCAAGCGTACTCCCGGTAGCCATGTGAATTCCGAGGCCAGCGGTACCCTATGACGCAACTAGCAGTAGACGGAAAAATGCACGAAACCTTAAACAAAACCGATCGGACGCGAGGATATGGGTATTGTGCTAAATCTCGTCTCCTAGCCGTAAACTCAACCTTCCTAGCCGTAGCCTTAACAATAATCCGAGCTCTATTCCCCCCTAACCTAGCCCTGTTAACCTTAAACCTAAACGTAACCCTAACTCTAACCCCAAACCTATGAATAAAAATGCCCCCTACACCAACCATAACTCTAACATGCAATGCGGGATCTAACCGCGTAACCTAGTATACCCAGAAGTGGAAAAGATTTTTTGAAACTAGATTGAGACATAAGCCTGGCACAAACTACAATTTCAACGTCTTGGAACTTGATGTAAAACCACCTGTAATACGGGTCTAATTAAGAAACCTTCCAATATGTCCAGCAGTGGAGGAGATTTTTTGAACTAGATTACGACGGTTACCAGCATGGGGTGTCATCATAATCAGATTCATAAACCTTAACACGCTAGCTTCCAGGTCGTATCACTAACCACGCT